GTGTGTGTGTGTGTGTGTGTGTGTGTTACCGTTGTTGAGGTTGAAGAGGAAGCTGCACATGTATTTGTCGTAGACTTTGCCTCGGCGGTCGGCTTCATCCTGAGAGATAATCTACAAACACAAAGGTCGACCACGTTACAGCTTTTCACACAATTGTTTAATTTTTTAAAAGTTAAAAAATCATTTAAGAAGATTCTTTTTCTTTTTCTTTATGTTATAATTGTCGTTTTGTAGTCGCCTGTTTTTTCATCAGTAATAACGAGTGAACAGATTTCTGGCGATGGACCCGGAGGTTTAGTGAAAATGAAGGTTTTGTAAATGTTAATTTAAACCCTCAGGTTTTACAGTAAGATAATCTGGAACCTTCTCCATGTTCTGAAGCTGAAGATCGTCCAGTCGTCCGTTCACACCTTCTACCTGAGTCTTACCTCTCCGCAGTACTCCGAGATGAACTCGTTCTTCTGGACCGGCTCTTTGATGAAGATGCCCCAACCCGCCACGTCTGACGGAGCGAGCAGCAGGTGCTGAGAGAGCGGGGGAGGGTAGAGTTCAAATAAACCGTCTGAACTCAAGTTGTGTTTGTGTGAAAACGGGGTTTTACTGTCTTCACCTTCTTGGCTCCTCTCTGGATGGAGCAGTTCTTGCAGGACACGTTCTTGCTGTCCCAGTGGTCGGCAGCGCCGCAGGTCAGGCAGAGGTCGGGGTCACACTCCCTCACGGCCAGGTAGCAGGGACACTGCTTGGTGTTACACTGGGCTTTGCACCGGCAACCCGGGAATCTATTCTGACCTGCACCCATCAAGACACACGTTTAAATATTCAAGTCTTTCACTGAACAACAGCTTTTTAAAACAACAGTGTTTGCTTCTCACACTCCGAGCTGCACTGGCAGAACTTTTCACAGAAGTTTTGAGCGGTGACGCAGGGACAGGAGGAGTCGCAGGGCTGTCTCGGGTGGTCACACGGCTGGTAATTGTACACGTGATTGGACGAACCGTCTGAAACAGGGTGGAGGAGACACAGGTCAAAGGTGTTTTCAGGTGGATCATGTTGTGACATTATCCAGCTCAACGTGACCTCTGACCTTTCTTCAGCTGGATCTTCCTGCAGTGAGTCGCCCACAGTCTGTGTTTCCTCTTCTTCTTCCTTGGAGGCGTGTCCTCGTCTTCAGCAGGAGCCCGAGCGATGATGCTCGACTCCTTCACCCTGAATTCGTAAACCTGCAGGACACAGTCACGTTGGAGTCGTCAGCCACTTCAGAGACATAAAGACGTTTCACCGGACCGGACTGACGGCTCACCTGTCTGCAGGTCTTGGTGCCTATGAGCCGTGCGATGGCGCAGTAGTTGTCGTAGTACGTCCCGATGAGAACCCTGAAGAGAGAAGCTTCGGCTCCGCTCCACTCCACCGTTTCAGCCTCCTCCGTCAGCTTCATCTTCACCGGAGTCTGACACCGCGAGTTCCCCTCTGCACACAAACGATCACGTTATTCAGCAGGAACTTTCCCCGGACGACTGTTTTTTTTGTTTCTTGTCTGCCGGCGTGTCGTGATTTAAATCTTTGGTCAGAGCTTCAGGTTCCCCGTGAACATCTGACCAGAGAGATGGTACCTGAGCTGCTGGTGTTGTCGTCCTTCTTGTCGTCATCGTCGTCCCGCTCGTCCTCTTTGCTGCCCTCTCGGTCGCTGTCAGTGTCTTTGGTTTCCGAGGAAACGGTGGGGGTGCTGGGCCGGCTGTTGGGCAGTCGTCCGCGGCGACGGCCCACTGTGCGTTTGGAGGGAGTCTTGGCTCGTTCGGCGACCACGCCTGCCGGGTACTCCCTCACCATCCCGTCCTGAGAATCCCAGAACAACCAAACTTTACTTTCTGGATCATTCCATCCGCAGATTATTTACATGTGATAATTATCAAATTGTCACATTTTAAAATAGAGAAATCAAAATAAATGAGAGGCAATAAATAAACCAGTGGACTCACCTGCACCAGGTACATGTAGCAGTCGATGCCGCAGGGTTTACTCTCCACCAGGTTCTCCAGGTTCTTGCGTTTATATGTGTTTGGAGTTGCGTGAAAAGCTAAAAGGAAAAGATATAAAATGCTGAAATTCTGCTCCCGTTAACGAGCAGCAGTCACTTTACAAATCCATGTCTCAGATCGGTACATACGTATCTTTCAATGTTTAACGTTACATGTGTGTGAGAGTACTAACGGTGGAGGAAGCAGTCATATTTGAAGCAGCGTCGGCAGAACAGTGTGTGGAAGGAGTGCAGGCTCTGTTCGCGCTGCACAGAGCGGGCGTTGGGACCGTCGATGTTTGGCGTGCATTCGGGCGGCAGCGCGCCGGGCAGCTGCTGCTCCGTCAACTCCTTGTACCTGAAACACGCGCAGAGAAATCAAAGATGACGGCCGTCTGTCGTGAGCTGGGACAAATCTTACTGGGACACGTGCAGAGCCACTAACTTCTCTTTGAGCTCCTCAGTGGAGCCCTTGTCCGGGAACATGGAGGAGATGGCTTCAAAAATCTTGTCTGACGGAAACTTCTTGGAGCTGTCGCTGCTGGTACGGCCTGGAACGACACACACACACACAC